GCACTTTATTTAAAAGGTTGATAAACTGAAAAGAGAACCTCCAATTTATAAATGTTTTTATAAAAATAATTTTCGGCTGAAGAAAACTTTGCTTTTTGCTCATGCTGTCAATTGAATAAAAAGCGTGTATTTGCATGTGTAACTACTGTAAAAATTGTCATGAAATCAAAATATGATATTTTAAATTTTTTTTTTAGGGAGAAAGTGAGAGACAGACACTTGCAGAGTAATGTGGATCTGAAAAAATATTTTTAACAGCTAATAAATATTTAACCATTTTTACGTTATTATTATTTACTTATCTTTTTTACATTTCAGACGCTCACACCATTTTGTTGTTTACACTACCTTCCCAATAGAAGTACAAGCTCCTAATGCACGTTAACAATAACGTATAAAAACGGACCGGAGTGTCGTTCCCAAACCACATGGTAATAACGTTGTGATTCTGTTTAACGGCAACAATCGCAGACTCATCTTTCCACGGTTTGCACCTGTAGTCCACACTGTCTCCCGGGACGTGCTGCAGTGCTGAACCTGCCGTTTCTTTGGACGCTTGTGACTCCGCTATAATCGGTTGTATTATAGCCTGTTGTATTACATACAAACTGGGATGTTTGAAAAAGAGATACAAAAGTTGATACAGCACTGAGTACTGAATAACACCATAAAAGACCACTGTCTTACTCAACTTTAGACCTTTGTAAATAAAGAAAAAAACTGCACAAACAACAAGTTTAGTCTATAACAGGCACGGGCGACTGGTGGGCAGATGCGGGCCCTTTGTCCAATTATATCGGCAGACCGAAATTATCGGCCCGTTATTGGCATAATTGGCATAAATGTAATATCTGTAAGAATCGTTATCATTTTTTTCCTCTGAAAATGAAAACCAGACAAAGCAATGCCTGGGTTTCGCCAAATGACGTAGACTAGTTTTGGGAAAAAACGACTGTATGTGAAAGTGAACGCCACTAGATGGCAGCATTGCAGCTCATTTTATTAATCTATTTTAATAATCAGGGGGACAGTATGCAGTTGCCAGGAACTCATACCAGGCGCTCAATAGTATTTCAATTCGAGAAGGTGAGAGTGGGTGAAAAAACTTCTGTCCACAAGGGGGGGCATGGCAGAAAAGAATTGAATTGTAAATGGCTAGCCTGAAAACGAGCTAAGCAGCCTCCCCACACTGAGGGTGACTCCTGATCGCACGTTTGTTTGCACGTGTAAAACTAATGAAACATGAAGCTCTTACTAATTATTCCTTTTCACAGCCGTTACTGCGACACGTCTCTGTGAGAACAACCAGGTGTTACTGATCACATTAGCAAAGTCTGCATTCATTTCATGTAAATCAGGGCGGTGTGACAGTGAAACGGCACAAACCCGGAAAGCGGAGAAGCTGAAAGACAAAACACAGAGAGAACGGTTCTGTCCTGGGTTAAATGTACACTTCACTGAGATCATAGAGGCTAACAGACCAACAGAACACACAACTACACAACATTAGTCATATTCTCTCAGTATATTTAGAAGTGTTGCTCATAGCTGATTATTGCACCATGGAGTTTATTTGTCATTTGTTTTCAAAGACCTGACCTAAACTGAAGCTGGTTGGTGAAGTAAGGGCCAATCAGGTAGTTTTTGCCTTGTCCTGTTTGGTTAATTCGCAGTTTGTTAATAAAAGCAGCTACACCTGAAGAAATTCTCCCTGGTGTCGCATTTAGGTCCTGCCTGCTTCCACAATGCCCACACTTAATGATAATTGTGTTATGACTTGACACTTTTCTTGGAAAAAAAAACAAAACTTATTTTTTCTCTATCGGCATCTTTATGGCAGTTATCAAAGAGAAACCACCAGAGACACAGAATTTATCAGTCGGCCATTAAAGTGAAGCAATGTCCAGGGCACAGCTTTTTCTTTTTTTTTTTCTTATTGTCAGTTGTTTTACACAGCGACAGTCTTTAATTCTGCTTTCCTTCACTGGCAGATATTATGCTGTCAAAATTGGATGCGTCCCGAGTCGCCGTGTCTCGTCGTAGCACTGCTTCCGGGAATTTACAGAATGCCACTACCTCTTTCTCTGGTTAACATCCAATTATATAACTGGTTGTCAATAAAGATGCCTTTGGAGGACGGAGATGATCCATGTTCGACCAATAGAGTTGAATAAAATATCAGTACATTTAAAAGCTTTAAAATGTAATCTGTCATTTAAATGAATATGGCTAATAATTCATTAATATAATGTATATTAACGACCACTAAGGGTTTAGTACATAGAGAATCCTGACTCTACCGTAATCGTCAGCACACTGTGGTTTTCGTGTTCGAGCGAGGACAACAAAATTTTCTTTTTACTTAACTTACACTTTTACCCATGACGGCAGATATAAGGCGCAGTAATGTTTGGTGACATCCCTTTAACAAAACGTCCTCATCCATTTACCCCGCACTTACCTCGAGATGCAGCTAAAGACTTAAAGACTCAGCAGTTCGGCGCGGAGCGCTAATAACCGATTCATGAATTCTAATGATTCGAAACAAGGACTCCTAACGCAGCAGTTTGCCGACTGTTGCGGCGTTCTTCAGGTGAACTCTGGAAATGCCGTCCAGTGGTTGTGATTATCCTAAGTAGCTGTTGTTAGATTTCGTTACAGACGGGTCACATTCGTCCACTTGATGTTTTAAGGCTGGACACATAACATAACAGACACGTGAGGCTTTTTTTTTTTTGTAACAGACGCGTGAGGCTTTTTTTTTTTTTTTGGACATCAAGTCCCTTTTACTAAAGGATAAAAGAAAAAACCATCACAGACTCCACATTATATATTCATATGTGCATATACTGTATGTGTTATATGTTTAGGTATATGTGGTAAATTTAGTTTTTTTGGAAACTTCTAATGTAGTTACAGTACCATAAAGGATTTTCAATTACAAACAAGTACAATATTTTGTGGTAGATATTTAAAATGTTTAAGTTGTAATTTTGCTCTTGGGTTTTCTTTATAATAAACATCTTTAATCATCTCTTCCCGCTCAGTAACTCATTTGGGGATGGGGGCTTCCAATGGAATGGAATATGGCACGCTCGACCGAAGGTTGCTGCTTCTGTTATGCTTGAACGATAAACAACCCTCCTGTCACTAGGTGGCAGTAGAAAATACAAACTATCAGGTTCGCAATAGTATTTAAATCCGGTAAGGGGCTCACGACAAAACTAATTTTTTTTGACTGCGCTAATGCTAAGTGCAAATGCCGGATATTGCAATACACACCAATGGTTCTTGAGTATTACAAACTACTACATATATAATGACTTTAAAATATAAATTACAGTGTACTATTTAGCTAACTAATCCTTGGTCTATTAGGCCTCAATATAAAATACTATTTTTTTTTTTTTTTTTTTTTTTCATGTATGGAAAGTGGAAAGCTGGAATGTGAACTTCTTGTCATTGTGACACTGCACACAACGAAATGTGACCTCTGCTTTAAGCGCCCCGGGGAGCAGTGTGTGGGGATGGTGCCGTTCTTAGGGCACCTCACTGGTCACTTGGCATCTGGTGGACTCGAACCTGAAACCTGAAGCCACCACTGCCCCACTGACAGGTGATTAAATATATGTATGTATTTTTACTCGCCCACGGAAGGATATGACAATGGGCCCCTAGGTAACATACCCATACCCTTATGAATCAAGGGCCCCGGGAATCGCCCTAACCCCTCGCCCCGCATGCAGCGCCACTTCCTGTCCTCCCATTGTGAGTCTGCTCTTCAGTCGGAAGTGCACTCAGAGATCTGTAGTCTCACTAAACTGTTTCTCTTGCACCTGGCTGCTACTTAAAAGAAAAATATATATATATATATATGTACTGCACTCAGAGATGTCATGATCGTTTCATTTGAATGTTTTCAGATCGACAGCTGCTCCCCACCACCATCGCTTCAGCAATATTGACTCTTTTTTAAGTAACTGTCGGATAAACACGCGTACAGAGAGAGAGAGAGAGAGAGAGAGAGAGAGAGCGAGCAAGCAAACCTGTGCGATAAGAAACCATTTCATACCTGCCTCAACAGGCCACTTCAGAACTTCAATGTCGTGTGAGAACAAACCCACATCACAGCCACACGATTAGAGAGAAGCAGCAATAAATGAGTCAACGCCGATCACACACACACACACACACACACCATATCACTTTCACGACTGATCCTCATCCTCATTCCTGTCACCCAGCTATAACCGGTACACAATACGTAAGCTGGTCACATCTGGCACAAAAAAATAAACATTCATTCTTTAAAGCGTTCAAGCTTTTGGATCAGAAAAAAAAAAAAAATCACAACAAGCAGCTCAAAAAAAAAAAATAAAATGGCTCATCCAAGACACCTTCAAGGCAACACAGCAGAATTCGCTTTGCATATTGATTTGCCCTGTGTTATATCTATTCATGAATAATCAGGCTCATTTATTTCATTTATGATGTAATTAATATCCAGAAGCACGACTCTTTTTTTCTCCCCCCACATTTTCTTTTCTTCCCCACAGTAGTTGTTGATTAATGATTCTTCCTTTTTGCTCCTCCTTTTTTCAGTTTGCAGTAAAATTATCAATTTGAAGGGGGGGGGGGGGGGGGGGGGACGACCCAGTACCAAATACAGGTACATAAAATATTGTGTTTTTATCAAATATGTTTATTCTGATTCCTGTAGAAATAGTTTAAAACTCAAATTATATGTTAAGGTTATTTTTCAAGTAATTCTTCAAGTAACTTTAAGCCCAACATTTCTTTTTTTTGCCATCTTCGATTTTGTGTCAGGGCTCCTACGTGAGTCCGATGATGATGATGATGATGAAGAGGTTTGACCGCACAGGGTGTTTGTGCGTAATAGCGCGGAACTTATTGGATGTCCCTTTTTTTGAGTGGGTGTGCTTGAAACAAAACTGCCACAGTTTGGGAATCTTTTTTTTTTTTTTTTTTTTTTTTTGTACCTCCTCTGCATCGACGTCCTCCTCACTGTCAATGGGTTCCGGCGTTTTTACGAACCACCACTGGATCTCCAAATACACGGATGAGGTCCCGCTCTGGAAGGCGCACGCCATTTCTATGTTTTGACCCTCTTTAACCGTCATATTCGAGGGCAGATCCGTAAATCGTCCTGCAGGGATGAGAAAAAAAAAATGAAAGGAGGGAAGGGTAACACGTAAGGGGTGGAAGGTATTATCGCTTTAATGATCGACTTCGTGGCCGCACAGTCGGCTCTTGAGCGCATTCGCTCGTGCAGCCACGCGGGCTATTCCGGCGCCACGCGTGTGACTGAACGCGCTCTTTTGTTTTAATAAGGATATGGCGGACGGTCCCCCAAAATCACCTACACCCCGCAACTCCCCACACCCACCCACCCACTCACTCACCCACTGATGCCACAGATACTAACGTGTCTTTATCGAGGTGGGGTGGGGGGTGCTATTTACATAACGCACACTTCTGCACCAATGCCCCCCACATATTTTTTTTCTCCCTTATCACAGAAACTAGACTTAAATGCCAGGAAAAGAAAAAGCTTTTTTTGGTGGGGGGAAGCTGAAGGCGACATCACAGGAGGCGCTAAAGAGTGTTCCTGTGCATGTGAAGTTTCGCGCAACGTAGAGAATGAAAGGTTTCACATTGAAGATCCGATTTGGTTTTTTTTCCTAATGTGTGAAGTTAGCCTCAAAAGGGGCGAAAGAAGACATTTTAAAAAAAAAAAAAATAAGCTCGCATACACAGTCAGTCCGACTCTGACTGCAGGGCAGCGTTCAGCGCCGCAGCGCTGTCCGTGGTGCTGAAATCCTCCCGTCGTTCTTTTTTACTTGTTACTCCAGACATACTCCTCGTTTTCAACAACTGGTTTTTTGCGGGACATGTAACGGCCAGCACTCAGTGTGTTTTGGAGAGGTGTCGGATAATAACCCCCCCACCCCCTTCTTGTCTATTTGAACAAATATCCAAGGGCTTGATTTCAAACAATCACCAGTTGCATTTTCTCCTCATTATCTGCAGCACATACACCGATTTAAAAAAAAAAAAAAAAACCCAAAACATTTTCTTTCTTTTTGCCTTCCCTGCATCTCACGAATCTCCTCACCCTAAATAATTTACCCCCCCTTTTTATTTCCTCTCCACTAAATGCACCCACGTTTGCTTTTCCACCAAGGCTGCGCACTTTTAACACTTTCTCCGACCTGCTTTTACTGTGTAGGGCAAAAAAAAAAAAAAAAAAGAAGAAGAAGACACGACGAAACTGTAAAATCGAGGACGGACAAATGCCCTTAAGAAGGACTCAGCTGTTGAAGACGAACTGACTGAACGTTGAGTGTTGAATCTTACCTTCGAATGTGAATCCGAATTGCACACAAAATCCGGCTAAGAAAACAAATCCAACAGTGTCATGAGAGGTCCACATCATTCCAGTTTAGAGAGGACACCGTTTGTACATCAGCCGGAGGAAGAGGAAGAACAAAAAACACACACACACAAGACGAACGCTTCCAACAGAAAAAAAAAAATCGGTTCAAGAAATCAGAAATAACCTTTAAACCAGCATACTTAAGCAGTTGCTGAAAGAAAGCGATTAAAAGGAATTTGCCAAAGGTGGAACATGCTGCAAAACCGTAGTGTGTCGTTGCTGAAGTTCTTTTTTTTCCCCCTATCTCTCTCTCTCTCTCTGTCTCTCTCTCTGTCTCTCTCTCTCTCTGCGTGTCTCTGCAGGAGAGTGTCGACTGCTTGGCTCTACTGAACTCTGTGAAATAGCCGGGCTGCGGTCCTCTGCCCGCGCTGCCGGAGAGACGTCAGTCTAGCGGATGATCAGTGTGTCATCCACACGCGCACACGCACATCTGCATGTACAGTCCTTTATCTGGTCCGCTTTACTGTCACCTTGACCGCCTGTGATTTTTTTTTTTTTTTTTTTTTTGTTCCAGCGCGCCAGGGAGGGTAAACCTAAGTGAAACCTCCACCTAACCTATTTAACAAAAGTCTTTTCTTTACACCATATAGTGTGTTTTTTTTTTTTATTCTTCTAAATTGCCCTTTTATTTATTTATTTATCTGCCTTTTCTGACTCACGGTTTGAAGCCAGGCTCTCTATATTTAGCGTGTCCAAAGGGTTATGTCACCAGCCTTAAAAGCCGTTGAAAAGGGAATGTTCTAGCATGAGATGAGAGCGAGCAGCAGGAGGAAATGATAGAGGCAGCGACCCGGCACAGTGTGGTGGGCAAGCGTGGCACGTCCACAGTCATTAAGATAGAGGAGGACCCCCCCCCCCCTCCCCCCCCCCCCGCTGGCCTGTTAGTCGGCTCCCCCGCCGCCCTAGCACC